GACTTGCTGTGGATCCATCAAAGACCATTCTGTTCCTCCTTTGTTTCAGACAGTCAGTTTGAGTCCCTAGGAACACCAGTCCAACGGTCATCACCGGGCAGCAAAACCACTTTGGTTTTTCCATCTTCACCAGTCCGTCCAAGGAAGCACCCACTAACCAGGACTCTAAAGGACAGGGTTAGGTTGATTTCTTCACCAGCGTTGAGATGATTGGTCCTAAAAAAACAAACCCCTTTGAAGCTGGACTTCGCCACAGATCCCTACCTTAGTTGTGGGGTCACTGTGAAGGTAACTGGGCTTCTCGCTGAGGAAAGTCTTTAATCAGCTTACAATGACTCTGGTGGATTCAAGTCTCTCTTTCCTGGATCTCTTCACAGTGGTGGGGGTTGCTAGTTGCACAATGTAGGGTCCTTCCCACCTCGGAGCTGCCCAATTTTTCCTTTTGATGATTTAAATCAGCACTCGGTCTCCAGGCTTCAGGCCTTCCTGTGGTGAAACAAAAGGAGCTCCGGGCAGATTACATGTTCTTTGAACAGTTCTGTATCTGAATAGCTTCAGAATTCCATTAGTTAATGGGTCAATATCATCTTGTACTTTTTCTGCCCAAAAAGGTAGAACAAAAGGTCTCCCATTCACTATTTCAAAAGGGGTCAAACCATCAGATGTTGGAAAAATCCTCATGAGTAATTTTACCAAGTGCAAACACTCTGGCCATGTCTTTCCTGTTTCTGCCATGAATTTTCTCAATCTATTTTTAATTTCTCCATTAATTCTCTCCACTAATCCTGCACTATGTGGATGGTAGGAGCAGTGATGTTTCAAAGTTATGTTTAAATGTTTGGACATTAGTGATACCACTTTATTCACAAAATGTGTTCCATTAGCTCTTTGTAAGCTTTTTTGGATTACCATGCTCAGGTATGATATGTTTACACAACGCTTTTGCTACTGTCAGCGCATTGGCATATTTTGTGAAAACAATTTCTACCCATTTAGAAAAAATGTTCACTAAGACTAGGCAGTACTTGTTCTGTCCACTTGGGGTCAGCTCAATGTAGTCCATACTAATTACTTCCAACTACACAATATAATAAAGAGAAAAAAATAAGAATATGGGGCAACTAATGTTTCCATAGGTCCCTTTAACCCTTATAGTAAGACACTACAGGTTCAAGCTTATCACCATGAGTCTGTAACAATGCAGAGGTTAAACAGAGGTCAAACAGGCAATTGTTTGGATAACAGTGAGATAAGCTCTGTTCTAAGCTCTGTGTAGTCATTCTGTTTCCTGAGCCAGGTGAATTGTGTCTGACATGGCATTAGTGTGTCATAAATTAGGCTTAAAAGAAGCTGAGTTCTTTCTGCAAAATGTGGAATCTAAGTTCTATAGTAATTGCACAATTCCAAAAAATACATTATTTGTCTTGTAGTTACTGGCTTATGCTCACTTGCTATTGGAGTTTTTCACTCTCCCTGTATCTTTTTACCTTCTTGTAAAATAATATGTCCCAAATAACAGACTTGTTTCTACACCCAATACATTTTTTTTTTACTGGCTTTATACCTTCCTCTGCTTCAGCCGATTGTGTTTTATCTGCAGTCTGTATTGCGATTTAAGAACTATTTGAACTGATTCTATAGTTGTCAATAGTCCTACATCAATTTTTTCTGTAGACCACAAAGCATTTAAAATGTCTTTTAAATCATTTTCATCAGATTGTGATAGCAAAGAATGCTGAGTTATTTTATCTCATGCTAAATCTTGGACCCAAGCTTCTGCATTGAACAGAATTTTATAAGGCTGTTTCCATAGTTCTGTGTTAGGGCTATAGAGCCAGCCTGGTTTGTGCGGTGCGGACATAGATAGAGTCTCTCCACTGTGCTTCACTGGTCTTAAACAATGACAAATGATGTACCCATGATAATCGGTACATTCCTTACATCTGTGTAGAAAACATAACAGTAACTGCCGCTAACAAACCCCCATCTGTGTACATAATTTGTGTAGCCATTATAGTAATGTCTTGTTTCAGAAACTGTTTTGCAAACTTTTCATCTGGGGTTAAGCACATATTCATAGTGGTCTACTGTTCAACTAACAGAGTTTCATCCTGTGGATCTGACAATGTGCTCCTAGAATAGTGCATATAAACACAAGAAGATTTTGGTAAAATGCTATTTACATGTTCCACACATTCAGCCTTCATGCCCCCCTGTTTGGGAAAAATTGCTTAATTTTCCCATCAATTCCCATCCTAACAGATTAATAGGGTGAGTTGGTGATACCACCACAAAAACACAGAAACTTGCAATCTTTTTCCTGTTTGAAGGTTTTCTATTTCTAAAGGTATTCCATTTGACCATTTGCTGATTTTACAAAAATTAGCATTTTAGATGGTTTTAGTCCTACATTATCTTTAATGCAAATTTTACAGGCTCCTGAATCACATATAAGTCTAACTGCTTGTCTAATAATTGTTAAAACTATTCATGTTTTTTCCTTTAATGCATTTAATATCTCCCATGCTTCATACTGTCATGATCATAGGGCTGATGGTTTGGTTTTTTTCCTTTGCTCCTTGCTCCCCTGTCTAATTGGTTCTGCGGCTGATTATCGCCGATCATTTTCACCTCGTTCCTCTACTATTTAAGTTGTGTGTTTGCCTCCCATCAGCGGCAGGTTATTTGTGTGTTTTGGTGAGACCTTTCCGAGCAATCTTCAGTCTGTCTGTTTCCCTGATTATGACCAGTTTTCTGCCCTGAGGAGCTCGAGTTTTGCCCCGCCCCTGTCTGCTCTGTTTGTCGTATCTGTTCTTGGATTCTACCGGCTTCTGAACCTGCTCGGCGTCTGCTGCTCGCTCTCTAGGAACTCTGGGGGCATCGCCCACCGCAACTGCTGTCAAAGCTCCACGAGCGGACTTGAACTTTGAATCAGGTCAGTGACTTTGCTCCAAGTCGTATTCAGCTCCTCATCCAGTCACTGACCTGTATTCTCCCATTTCTGTAGAGATCCGCCCCGCAGCAGACGAGCAGCCCCGCGCACCTGTTTTGTTAAATAAACGCTTTGAACTTTCCCACTGCCTATCTCGCCTTGAATTCTGGGTCCAATATTCTGAGTTCATTACACATACACATCTACTATTTTAATGGCTCCACCATTTGCTCAAACACCTATTCACACTCAGATGAAGAACTGCCCCTGTGGACTCTTTCTTCCTGGTCTGCTTTTACTGGTTTGGGCTTAAAACCCTCTTCAAATTCTAGGACCGCCCCTGCATCCTTGATGCCTTTTGAAATTTCCCGTTTTTGTTAGTGCAACAATCTCTGCAGTTTACACAGAATATGATGATTTTAAGGCAGCACTGCAAAAGTTTTGTAAAACAACTAATTTCTTTCTGGAAACTGACTCATCCACGTACAAATTTTTATAACCCCTCCTATGGTTCATCTTTTCCCCTGGGTGGTTAGATCCAGGTAGTAAAATGTTTTTGGGGATGAGCCTGAATGTATCACATGTGTGTCAGCTGCTTTTAACTTTGGAGTCCTGATAATGGATTCCTGACTTTTTACCCATGACTGAACTATCAGTCACTAGGTGGATTTGAGTCTTTTTGTTTTTAGTTTCCCAATCCTGAGCATGCAAAGCATACTCCATCAATGTGTTAAAATTTGCAGTTTTCCATCCAACCAAATGTTTTTCCAAATGACCTTTAATTTCTGGATGGAGATTTAGTAAGAACGGGAGGTTTTCTCCACAGACGTTGGGCTGCCTCACAGACCGCATTAACCTGTCTTTCTAGGTCCCCATGCCCCGGAGGCAAAATTTCAGCTGGATTTGTCATGATGCGCAGGTTTACTAGCCCATATGCAGAACTTACAGGCAGAGAGGCAGGGGAAAGTCCAATATTTTATTGGATTCGGTTGACAGGTTGACAGACTTACAGGTTTGCAGATTCAGACAGGCATGGTGGCACAGCAAACACAAAAATCCGGCTCAGAGGAGAGCTCTCACTCAGCTTATATAGAGAGAGCTTCCTTAATCAGCAGATGGAAAACAGCTGTCCATGCTGAGCCCAAGCTCCCCAGGCATGGATCAAAGATGCCCTCTGGTGGGCAAAGCCTGAATCCTAACAAGATTTCCTCCATTCCCAGTATATTGTTTTCTCACTTGAGCCCAATTATGGCCCAAACTACACTTCATAGCCTTTTCTATGTTTAACTTGCACAATCCATTTATTTAACCTCTCTAATTTTTTTATTCCCTGTATGTAGCTTGCATGACTAAAATAATTTTCTGGTGGGTTATTTATTTATTATTGTTTTGGTTACGAACCTAATAGTTTTGGAGACCATGCAGGCGCATTAGGAAGGCCATCAGATGGATCAATGCTGCAGTCACTGATTCACCTGACATACTCCCCCGCTGCTGCAGATTCAAGCTGTCTCCCTCTAAACTGTGTTTCATTAGCTTTTGGACGCACAAACAACTTAAAAAGCCCACAAACATAACTTTAAAGACACATAACATTAAAAGACACATAACATTAAAAGAGGGAAAAACACAAAATTAGATCTATGTATTTAGGTTTTCATCGAATCTACTTTGTGCATGTATCATACCTACACCTCGCCATTTGGAGCTCATCTATTTATTTATCTATTTCTTTCTTTATGTATTTATCTATTTTTGCTACTTCCACACACCATTTCATACTTTTACTTCCACTCCACATGGACCCAGTATTCAAGGAGAGACAGTCAGTAGGAAAGTTCAAAACATTTATTAAATAAATAAAACAAAACAAAAGCGGAGCTGTGGCTCACGGACACTGCAGGCGGGGGGGCGGGGCACCGCCCAATCTCAGACACTCTAGTAGAGAAACACAGGTAAGTGACCACGAGATAATGATATAAGATTAACTGTGTTGTTCACTTACCTGGTTAAACAGTCCAGACCCCGAGTGTCCCCAGTGCTGCAGTCCCTGAGGTGAGGCTGGAAGCCGATCCTGGTGAGGGATCCAGAACAGACAGGAACAGGCAGAATCCAGAGCAGGCAGGAACAGAAACAGGTGGCAGGATCCAGACTTTCAGGCATCCACAGGCTTCCAGGAGGGTTCAGAGTCTGACTGGGACCAGAAGCATGACCAGGTGGTCATGCACAAGAGCAGACAGGATCAGGTGCAGACAGGCAGGCTCAGTGGAAGAGGGTAGCCGAGACAGGACGTAGGAATCGGAACTTGAAGCAAGACTTTAAACTGGTCTCCTCCCTGGAGCCAGGCTTACTTTGATAAAAACTGAACCTCCCCCCATAATGAGCCAAAAACCCAGAAGACTCTGCGGGGGAGGAACAGTGGACGATCAGGAGACGAGACAAACACTAAAACCCTCTTTCCACTGGCTGCTAGGATCCAGGACATGAACCATGACAAAAAACTAAACAGACAGACTAACAAAAAGACAAGTAATGATCTGGCACTGAATGCTCAGGCTGAACTGAATATAAACCAGAGGAAACAGGTGAGGGGAATAAATTATAATTGAGGCAGGGAAGGAAGAGGGCAGGTGAGAGGAATTACTAATTAGGGAGGAGCAAACAGGCCAGATCATGACACACTCCTACAATATTTTAAATTACTTGGATCAATCTGACACAAACTTTTCATCCCTTTTATGATCTTCTCTATACTCTTTCCTGAACCCATCCTTTTTAATTATTTAATCTCCCTGGCTCTCTTTAGTTATTTTATTCTTTAGTTCTTTTATTTTATTATTTTGGAATAGAGGTGTCCGTCAAACCCATATTTTTTTTAAAACCATATATTCAAGCCTTTATTTTTTGTTGGATCCTGCGCTTCTACAAACTTCTAATCGTAGATTCTAAATTATCTCTAATTTTACTTTGACCTTTACGCATTTTAAAGAATTTAGTCCAGTACAAACACTTAGGGTATTCTACGCACTGGATGTTTATTCAACAGGACAGTACCCAAAAACTGTTGTGGTAATTTCTGCTTCTACCTTTTCAGGTGAGAAATTCTTGCCTCTGCATCCACAAGAGCTATACTGTATTAATTCCTGCTGTTTTAGTATGAAACAACGGAACCTAAAGGTTCGTTTGTTTCTTCACACACTCCCACACAGTCACATTTTTGAAGGCCTATTCTAATAATAATTTTTTTTAACCAATATACCTAATGCTATGCGTACACTTTGGAGTCCCATACTCCGCACGCGCAGGCCCCGGAGTCCCCAAACTCCTCGCTTAGCGGATACCCAGACCCCAGATCTGTCAACAAATATCCCTGCTGCGGCAGCTGCAAACCTTACTTAGCTGTGTTCATATCTAAAAGAACACAGAGGGTCCCAGACCCAAACGCACAGAATACCGATCCCAGATCTATCACACCAAAAACCCTGTTTGTCAAATATTCTTGCGACTACAACCAGTTATAGCTTTCACATGGTCCCAGACCAACTTTTGATCAAAAGCTTTCAGGCCTACCCTTTCGCTGCGCAGATTCAGTCCTCTGGGAGTCGTTACCAGGATGCCCAGGGCATGGTTGGACCAACCTATTGGCCCCATCCGGCGAAGGGGGGGACGGCTGTCGACAGTTTCTTGGCCTTGGTCCCACACGGTCCTGGACAACTGGATCTTGACTCCCAGGTTTCGGCACCAATATGTTAGCTTAAAAAAATTGTGAGTTCATATTGGACAAAAAATGAATCTGACACACCAAGGGATTTTCAAACACAGCTTCCTGCAGGAGGAGAAAGGCTGCCTGCTCACATTTCAGCACCTTTTCTCACTGCTCCCTTCACAGTAGAGCCTTTAACAGATCACAACAGGATGGGGGTGGGTCTTAAGACAGAATGACCCTGTAATGACAAATCAGCTTGAGGCAGGTCATAAGACAGAATGACCCTGTAATGACCTTCTGTCTTTAATGTTTCATATGTACACACACTAACTATCTTCCATAAACCTAACAACAATATAGATGCATTTATAATGGTAGTAATTATAAAAGAAAATTGAGTGTTGTCTAATGAGTGTGCATTTTCACTCATCAGGGATCTTAGTCCAGAAAAGTGCAGTTCAAGAGAAAAGGTACTGCGCAGAACCCTCAAGCTCCCAGGCCTTTAGTAGAGACCCAAGCTAGGTGGAAAAAGAGAGACCGCTCGTGGTCAGTGAGGAAGGTTTGTTTTTTTTTTCATTCAAATTATGATGTTAAAGAAATAAGACTTGTTGCTGCTGTCCCCATTCTTAGTTTTAATAACTGTATGACTAAATTAATTGTATTCAAATCAAATCCAAACATATTTTAATCTGATTAATAATATTGGTTGCATTGTGTTTTACTTAAATGAGCAGGTGCACAAGAAACTCAGCTGGAGTCAATCATAGATTTTTTAAAAGCCAAAGTTTAATTTATTTTGACTACAGACGAAGTTGTACAGCACTACCCATTCTGCAGGAGAGTCATAAGAATGGAACATTTATCTTCTCATGACATGTACAATAGGTGAAGTATAGTAAGCACCACAATCTAATAACTGGTATGTGAAACATTATGCAAGCAGAATATTACCACAAAGGCTCTCTGAGTGTCTGTTGATTCAGGTGTGTATCTTATGTAATAAGGCAAGGCAGGTTTATTTATAAACTGAATTTCAGTTGCAAGACAATTTAAAGTGCTGTATATGCGGAAAAAAAACAACAAAAAAACGTTTATTGGAGTAGAATAGATGCAGCACAAATAAATGAAATAAAATGGGGGCATTCAAAATTTTTATATAAATAGAAAACATAAAATGATTAAGAAAAACGAATAAAAATAAGACTGAAAACTTAACTAATAACACTCTTAAACAACATATATTTTTATCTCAATTTAAAGCAACTGCACTTTTATGAGCTTCTTAAGTTTAGTATGAGTTTATTATGGATTTTTGCATAAGAACTTAATGCTGATTCTTCATATTCAGATCTGGTTCAGGGTATGCAGAGCAGTTTAGAGCCAGAAGACTTGTATCTAGTGCATGACTTAAATACATTTAAACAGTAGAAATTTAAAAGGGTCAATTCTAATATCACAATTTTTTGCCTAATTAAGGCATAATGATGTGTGTAGTGACTATTTGTACACAACTCACATTAAAAAATAAAAAAACTTAAGACTTAAAGGTGATCAAAGCAAAAGGTGAGTTTAACTCAAATAGTTACCTGATGGACTGGCTTACGGAAGTCCAAAGAGAGATCAAAAAAGTCTAAATCCAGTTCTTCGCTTGCTTTATTCTCCTTTCAGAAAAACAGGTTACAGGCTTTACAGGATTAATCTATTGCTCTCACTCTGATTTCTGCACCCTTTCTTTGATTGATTGACTGAGACTGAGAACTGTGACTGAAAACTGATTAAAAAAAACATTTGACCACCCACGTGCATAATGAGCTGCCTGAAACCTACCTATTTATACTGTAAATAACAAATCGAACTAAATAATCTAAATTCTAATATTTTACTGAAAATGGTGAAACAGCTCCTACACTGTGTTCTAGTTTAGTATGAAGAAATTAGACCATAGAAAAAGGAATATAAAGAAGTTTGAAACTGTTAACATCTTAACCTTTGTTTACAGTAAATTAAATAGTCTATATTCTATATATCATTTTTATATCTAAATTATAGTGATGAATATTTGCAACACATTATTTTGTTGTATTGTCTCTGAGTGCTAATTGAAAGATACATACATCATGATAGCTCCAATGGAGAAAATTAAATAAAACCTACTCCTTAAACTTAAAGAGCTTCCATAAACATTGTCATAACTCTCTGTCTTGGGGTTTGACCCTCCATTTCTTTCTCCATTCTGATCTTCAGCTCCTTTAGTATTTGGACCTTCCCTTTTTCTCTCCTATCATTCATCTTCTCAATCAGGTAGTCCAGGTGTTTAAAAGTGTAACCTGAGTTACCATTAAGGGCGATCTGATCCAGTTTGATAACATGATTGTAGGCCTCATCCAGCAGTGATGACCACTCTGCTTTTAGTTTGCTGTTTTCCGTCTCCATGTTTTCCAAAAGACTTGACTTGGTCTCAAATTCAGCTTTATTTTTTTCATATTTCTCCTTCATATCATCCAGAGTCTTCTGAACTTTCTTGGTCTTTATTACATATCTCCAGTTTTCTTTCTTATGATCTGATGCAGGACACTTCTTGGTACAAACTGTGCAGTACCCCCTCTTCATGACCTTGCAGTGTCCTGGTTTCCTGGCCATTGTGCATCCTGGATAGTGACAGTTCTCCTCACAGACAGAACAGGTGACGGCTCCTTCATAAAACACCAAACCCCACTTTCCTCCTTTGATCGTTTCTATTTCTTTGTAGGCCTCATCAACTTCTATAGTAAAGTTCTTGTTCTCCTTCATCTCTTCTTCATGTTTAATATACTCTGCTTCTATCTGTATGATTAATCTCTGCTTCAGTTCAGCCAGCTTGATTCTCTCCTGCAGGTTCTGGATGCAGGCCTCCAGTCTGATCCGTTCATTCAGAACCTCTATGGTTGTTTTCAGAGGCTGAGGTTTGTTTTTTTTCAGAAAGTCTCTTAAACGACCCATTTCTTCATTAGTAAAGTCCCAGAAGTATTTCGAACTCTGCCGATCTTTCTCTGTTCTGTTTCTCTGTTTGATCTGTTGATTATTAAACATGAAGAGAGCAGGCTGATTCATCTCATCTCTGGAACATTTAATTTCTGCATCTTTCAGAGCTTGAAAGACATTTTCTGGTGCTGATTTTCCATCAGAATGAGTGATAAGCACCACAATATTTTTCTCCAGGTCTTTTCCAAACAAAGACATCACTGAATTGAAGATGTACATCAGTCGGTCACTCAGCCGATTTTCACTGGCCTTCATCACCAGACCCACTGCATTGATCTCATGAACTCCATCTTCTGATCGGAACAAGTCAAACAATCTTCTGCTGACAGAGATATCTTCTTCAAATCCTCTGGTGCTTCCAAATCCAGGAGTATCGATGATGGTCAGAGAGAACGGCAGACTTTGACCTTCAAAACCGAAAATCTGATAGACGATCACATCTGATGTCTGACTTTGTGATTGACTTCTTCCCTCCTCCTTTTCTACGATCTGAAACCATACTTTATCCTCAAACTTCACTCCTACAGCATAGTTGAACAGAGCGTTGATCATGGTGGACTTTCCTGCTCCTGTTTCACCAACTAGTAAGATGGTTTTATTGCTCTTTTTCTCATCTTTCTCACCAACCGTCACTCTGGTCAAAGTTCCAATCATTTCTTCCTTTGATATCAGCTGGTAGATGGAAGGAGGTCCACGATGGATTTGAAAACTTTCTGATATCAAAGCCTCCTGATTTGATGAATTCATTTCAATCCTGTAAAAAAAGGGAAAACTTATTTATTTGGGGGTTTATTTTCCATTTGTTCTTCCTATGAATTACTAAAGGAACTTCAATTAAGCATTGTAACAAACAGAGTTGTTATGGGGGGAGTGCCATGGGTATTTTTAAGAGTAGATACGCACCCAAAAAAATTGCCATTTTAATATATATTTACATCTTTACACTGATGTCCTCACCTCCAAGCAAGCTGCTCTCACTGCACTGTGGCCTCCGTATGCTAGTATTAATTAACCAGATATTAGAAATGAAAAAAAAAAAACTCTTAACAAGGGGATACAACCCTCTCCTCCACAAGGTGAATCCCAAAAGAGGTTACAGTATTCACCCTCCTCCGGCTCAACATGGTTTCCCAGACCTAATTGCAAGTCATCAGTATCCACCTGAATAATCCCCTCAACATCATCAGGAGCCTGAGGTATGCCATTACCCACTTCACCACCATTACTCACTGAAGGTGTTGACCCATCGGGGCCCGGGTAAGGTGCATAGCTTGTCACTGCTGCACGGGTATACACATATTCATCGTCCTCAGAGTCTGACTCACTACCAGCAGCCCCCACTCCTTCGGATTGAGTTCGACACTGCTGTCGTGTCCGCTCCACACTGTGGACTATTTCCATGGCCTCATCAGACCCTTCGGGTAACCTTACAAGAGAGCCTACTGATAATAGGTGGTCTCGGTGCAGAGTTTTCACCACCCCTGTGCCCTTCTCGGGTTTCACTCTTTAGACAGGAAGGTTTGGCAACTTTTCTTGAACTACATAGGGCACAGAGTTCCATTTATCCTTCAGTTTTTGTTTGCCAGTGCCTCCAAAAGCACGGACAAGTACTCTGTCACCTACGTCTTACAAGTGGGAGCGAACTCTCCAGATGTTGAATTGTTGCATTGGTGACTCTTGTTGGCTGCCTGCACAGCCAGTTCATAAGCAACTTGCATGTCTTTCTTAATTGTCTCCACATATCTCTTTTCAGACTTTTCCTCTTCTCCTTCCTGCAAAGTACTGAAACATAGGTCCACTGGGAGGCTTGCTTTCCCTCCAAACATAAGGAAGTACGGGGAGTAGCCAGTGGCATCACTTTTGGTGCAATTATAAGCATGCACCATAGCGGCAATTTGCTGACTCCAACACCTCTTCTTCACTGGGTCCAGTGTGCCCAACATAGACAACAAGGTCCGGTTAAAACGTCTGGGCTGTGGGTCACCTTGAGGGTGATAGGGCATCATTCTTGATTTTTTGATAGCACCGTAAGCAGTTCCTTGATTAGCTTACTCTCAAACCTGCAGCCCTGATCTGAGTGGATTCGGGCAGGAAGTCCATAATGGACAAATTATTTTTCCAGCAAGACTTTAGCCACTGTTGGGGCTTTCTGATCTCTCGTGGGATAAGCCTGAGCATATTGGGTATAATGCTCTGTTACAACCAAAACAATTGTAATACCACGAGAATCAGGCTCCGTCGACAAGAAGTCAGTACACTAAATCAAGTGGGCCCTTACTGGTCATTTGGTGGAGAGGAGCGGTTCGGTGGGGCTGGGATTTGTGCGCTACACATCTCCTGCAGTTATATATGTAACTGGCAATGTCCGCTGCCATCCTGGGCCAATAAAATCTCTCTCTGCTTAGCTCAATAGTCCGCTCCATGCCCAAATGGTCCCCATCATCACGGGGTGAAACTGCTTTGGGAGGACAAGCTGGAGTATCTCTCTCCCTAACCTCTTACAAATGGTTCTCTTGCAGTAATAAGTGAACCTCAGCATCATCACGTAAGGGGACATAAGGGTGCCGACCCCGTGACAAGGCTTGTTTCATCTGACTAATGACCAAATCTTAATCTCAAGCTAACTGTACGTCGTTTACACTCAGCTGTTCCAATGACTTAGCACTAACCCAAGTAGGGTGTACATAAGCATGGGGGGATGCAGTAGATGGTGGTATTCACCCTTCTTCCTCTGCACCCTCTTCGTCGGCCCCTTCTTCTTTTCTTGACACCAGGTCTGCATCAATGTTCTCACGTCCTGGTCTGTACTGAGTTCCAATATTGTAAGTGGCCAAGGCTGCTAACCACCTGTGCCCACAAGCATTCAGCTTGGCAGAGGACAACACGTAGGTTAAAGGATTGTTGTCAGTTCTAACGGTAAATTGGGCTCCGTAGGGATAGTCATGAAATTTGTCGACTACCGCCCACTTCAACGCTAAAAATTCCAACTGGTGGACTGGGTAGTTTCTCTTTGAGGCACTGAGTTTCCTGCTGGCGAAAGCTACAGGGCGTAATCCCTCAGGGTACTCTTGATTTAGCACGGCCCCTAATTCATCAAAACTTGTATCCACATGTAATATGTAGGGCTTACTGGGGTGGGCCAAGGCAAGCACTGGAGCATTCGTCAGGCAGTTCCTTATCTTTATGAAAGCCTCAGTACACTCAGCAGGCCATCAATCCCCATAAGGCTCAGAGCTATTTAAATAGGGTTGGTCTTGGGTGGACTTTGGTGGGCGCCCTCTCTAAGTAGGGGTATAGCCTCTGGTCAAGTCAGTAAGTGGACGAACTATGGCAGAGTATTTGGCAATAAAACGCCTATAATAGCCGCAAAAGCCCAAGAAGGACTGCAAAGTCTTGAGGTCGACCTCATCTTTTACGTAAGCGCTGTCATACGCCTCGTTTTCTGCCTCTTCTTAGTCATGAATTCCCATTACAGGGCGCACAGAAGTCCACCATTAATCACAAAAATCACACACAAGCAGCAGAGCATGCACCCGGGGGGCCAGAAGAGCAGCGCCCAGGCGCTGTGTTAAATGGCTTTTAGATTCAAATTTTTTTTATTTAATTTTTTTTTTTTTACATGGAGGTGACATGAAGTCCAGCCCTCCTTCTATTTACTCACTTAAGAGAGAGATTGAATTTATTTAGTTGTTTTCTTCATAAACAGTTTGTTGTTATGATTATTATTCAGTGGAAATGTCAAAGAATAATAAAACGATTTTAGGTCATATAACACTAAACAAATGTAGTTGTAATTATAGCAAATTAAAGTGAAGAAAACTTCTAAAAGTATTTTCTTCCACATTGTGTAGCATTGTCTGTGGGCCCCCAGAGGTGATCGTTGGCTAGAAGCTAATGTTGTCTGGGGAGCTATGAAATAGAAAAATATGGGAATCACTGCTTTGTACTGTAGAAAAGTTAAGCTGTTTCTCTTACGTAACAGGATAAGTTATAAAGGTTTAAAGTGACATTCAGAAACTCACTGTACCTCTGTTGTAGTGCTTTTCTGGTTCCTTGATCCATTCTACTGTATATTTCCTCCAGTTCCTGCAAGTTTTCTTCCCTTTTCCCTTGCCCCTTCATCTTCTTGATAAGGTAGTCCAAAATTACATAAGTGGATGTGGAATCATCTCTCTTAACTAACTCATAAAGTTTCATGAAAAGCTTGTATGCTTCCTTTATCAGTCGTCTCTTCTCTACCTTCAGTTCTATTTCCTCTGTTTCAAGTCTTTTAGAAAGCTTCTTCTCTCCTCCTCCCTGTTTCTGTTCATAATATTTTTTTAATTCTTCTTTACTCTTCAGGTCTTTCTTGGTCCTGATCACATATTGGTAGTTTCTTTTCCAATGTTCTCCTGCAGAACACTTGTTGGTACATGAAGTACATTCTCGATTTATCATCACCTCACAATGTTGAGCATCTAGGACAGTCATACAGCCAGGATAGTGACAGTTCTCCTGACAGCGCACACAGCAGACGGCTGTTTCAAAACCACATCTCTTATCTGTAAGAGGCTCCGTATGTTTGTAGGTATGTGGAATACTTAACTTTAGCTTCTTATCATTTTTCCTCTTCTGTTTGTTGTTACAAAGAGCCTCTTGAGTCATTCTAACATCTCTCAGTTTTAACTCATTAAACTTGATTCTGTCCTGCAAGTTTTGGATGCAGGCCGTCAGTCTGATCTGCTCTTTCTGTGCTTTCAACATGACCTTCTTCTGCTGAGGTGAAGATTTTCCCAGAAAGGCTGTGAGCTGTTTCATTCCTCTTTCTGTTACTCTCCAGGCATTTGCTATTGTTAATTCTGAATCTTCTGTTCTTTTTTCATCCTGGCAGTTATCAAACTGGAAATAAACTGTCTGATTTTTTTCATTTTTGGCACATTTGATGTTTGCAGCTTCAAGAGCCTGAAGAATCTTTTTAGGTTGTTTTCCATTTGAGTTTGTCAGGAGAGCTATGATGTTTTTCTCCACATCTTTTCCAAACTGGGACAAAATGAAATCATAGATGTTCTTCAGTTGGTCACTGACTACATTACCTCCCTCCTCAATGACCAGACCTACTGCATGAACTTCATGGATTCCATCATCTGATTGGAATAATTCCAGTAATTGTTGTTTCAACCCAGCATCTCCATATCCATGAGTATCAATGACGGTCAGAGCGAATGGCAGAGTTTGAACCTCAGAATCATATATCTGATAGACGACCACATCTGATGTCCGATTTCCTGTCTGACTTCTGTCCTCTTTCTCCTCAACTATCTGAAACCAGATCTCATCCTCAAATTTTACACCCACAGCGTAGTTGAACAAAGCATTGACTAGATTAGATTTTCCAGCTCCCGTTTCACCAATGAGCACAATGGTTCTTAGTTTGTTTTCATTTTTTTCTCCAACAGTTACTTTGGTCAGAGATTTAATCTTCTCTTTCTTTGTTTTCGGCTGATAGATCTTAGGAGGAACTGGACAAACTAGATTACTTTTGGAGATGATGTCCTCAAACTTTGAAGAATTGCTGTTCCTGTAAAACAAGAGAAGATGTTCAGCACGTGCTATAAATTACCATTGATAGTAAAAAAAAAAAAAAAAAAGAATGTACCACAGTGCATTAGAGTCTCTGAAAATGAAGCTGATTAGTCTGTCCCTTCATTTGGATGGGATTAAATTGATTTTAGATAATGGAGTAAAACCCTTAGGTGCTGTTTTTGATC